ATTCAAACATATTTCTGACTCTGAGCTTTTTCTCTGTACCATAGTATTACAATGTATTTGATAGTCATATACTCTTTTACTCTACCTACAAGCTGACAAATCTAAGGCTTAGAGTTCAGAATTTTTTAAAATTTTATAATTTTTATTTTATGTGTATGCACGTATTGCCTGCATGTAGGTAAGTGCACCCTTATCGTGCAAAGTCCACGAAGGACAGAAGAGGCTGTCAGATCCCCTGAAACTGGAGTTATGGACAGTTGTTAGCTGCCATGTGGGTGCTGGGATTTGAACCCAGGTCTTCTGCAAGAACAGTCAGTATTCTTAACCGCTGAACCATCTCTTCAGCTCCTAGAGTTCAGAATTTATCAGAAGTCACACTTCTATAGAGGGGTCCACTGAAAAGATTAGGCAGGTTCAGTGAAGCTTTCTTCATCCAAAATACCCTTCCAATAGATTCTGTACTGCAAACAATAATGCTGGAGTCATTACTGAGATACATCAGTCTATTACTATCATTTTTACTGTTCTTAAATTTATTTAATTGAATAAAAAGACAAGGAAAGAGATCCACAAAGCCAGCAAAAGCCTGTGTCATTCCTATGATAATTCAGAAAAAAGTAGCTCTGGTTGAAACATAAAATAGTGAGCCTTAGTTTATTTCCAGCCCACCCAGCAACCTCAATACACCTTCTCCCTGTGGACTCAAAGCAGCAGATGGTTGTTTGCCCCGCAGTTCAGCCTTTTCTGTTTACGCTGAACCTCTATGTTATAATCTATTTTGTAATCACTAATAAGGACCACGTCTTTTGAGATATTCATCCATACCAAATAGAGACCTGATTGTTCAAATTCACAGGTAGGCAAACACATAGTTGATGTGTGAACCAAGATTACTGAATAGAAATCCTAAATCAAAACAAGAATTTATACTAACTGATCATAATTTCTTAATAAAAAACATATGTCCATTCCATTAGAATGAAAAAGAAACAATATTTTAAACAATTAGGGTAATGCTTTTGAGGATATGATATACTACAGACATTTCCCAGGGAAAAGAAGATCTGCTGGTTGTAAAAATTCATTCACCCCATTAATATGTATTCAAGAAAAATTCGCTGCACTTAAGTATGCCTAACCATCTACTATCTAGGCAGAGTATCTCCCTATGGTTGAATTCAGCCAGGAAAAACAACAACAAAACAAAACTGGCTCTTTGAAAACAAGAAGAATCCAGTCCAATAAATGGCTGATAAATGCTTACCACTGAGAGTGTGAAACCAGTCGTAAATCTGGTTTAATAGAATAAGGAAAAATGGCAGAAACAGAAAATAAATCCTCCTCTCAGTGCCCTCCTTCCCCCAACAATGATTCCAGCCAGTGGTCAGGCAGAGAGAACTCTTTCCCTAGGCTGCTGTGGCAAAATCACAGACACCTTCACTAGCATACCTGTGTCTTCGCACTGCCATCTCTGCTCTGAACTCTGTCGTCCTCCTAGGATGTGTCTCAAAGCAGAGACTACATACACACTCTCACGCTAAGCCCACCACGTCTTCTGTGCCCAGCACAGAATGAACTTACCAAACACAATCAGTAAGCTATTTATTCTTCCAGTCCATGTGAAACCATATTTGAGCATAGACAGGGATCATTAAAAAAAAAAAATGCTGCTATGTATTTTTCAACATTGCTAAAAGTGTACATTTTAAATGTTTCCAGCACAAAAAAAATAATTACTATGTGAGGGAATTTGCTCATCAGCTTGTCATAATCATTTTTTATTGTAAACCTACATCAAAACATTACATTGTACCATATGTGTTTGTGATTGAAAATAAAATGGTAAATTTTGTTTTGCATGGAAAGCATGACTTGATTTTAAAATAAGAGCTTGAAAACAATTCGCAAACCCCTTTCCCATAATTGCCCAGGTAACTGTCTATCCACATACTAGAGGGAATGAGGCTATGCATTATCTTATGCAGTTTACATTTTAAGTGTAGAGAAATTCTTTGCAACTAAGGAAGAGAAGCAAAACCAACAGGCTGAGTTAGCATTTTAAAAGCAGATTCTCTGTTGGGTTTTCCCTATGAATCTCTCTTGTTTTCTCTTCCACTAGCTCTGAAATTTTTAAAGAAAACTGAAGTGTCTCTTCAAAAGGACTTCCACTTCTCTGTCCACCACACTCCTTAATGGAGTTCCACATGAGACGCCAGAGCAATATGAGACAATATAGGCCTCATATGCACCAGGAAATGAACTACATGCTCTAATGTTTTATTTTATTTATTTTATTTTATTTTCTATTACAATCATATAAGGTGGCTGCTGCTTCTTTCTCTGCTTTGGAGATGACGAAACTAAGGCAAAATACTTTGCAACTTATGCAAAATCTAAGCAGAAGTTCAATAAATGAGTAGTGTCCTAAGTATTCCCACTCCACCTTCCAGCAGGTAGCTGTTCCAATTCCTAAGCAGTGTCATTTGGTTTGTGCTGATAGTAAACAGGATTTATATCCCTTCCTGGCAGCTTCGTTTCTCCTTAGCATGGCAATTTCACTTTGAGTGAGACAAACACGACTGTATGGTTGGTTATAAATATCAACATCATGCATGACATATAATTTGCACAAATTGTTTTGATATATTTTGTGAACAATAACATTTTATCTAAACATAAAACTTTCATAAATTGTTAAATGTACATAGAACAGCTGAAGATTCAATATAAAAAATTTAAATTGTTAAATGTACATAGAAGAACAGCTGAAGATTAAATATAAAGTTTTAGCATAAACCAATTGTGCATACAGAGGACAGATATGTGTATGTGTGCCTTGTGTGCATAATTATTCAGGGATCTTGGTACATTTTAGCGAGTGTGGCACTATACAGAGCACATGGTGGCCCCAAGATTTAATTTTGTTATGTGAATTTTTAATCAAAACAATATAACAGGCATTTTGACATTGACAAATGTCACATAAAAGTAGCTCCCCTTTTAAATTCCTTTCAAATTTTCCTTGTTGTATTAAATTTTACTTCCCAGAAATCTTTTTCCAAAGGATTCTTGTCAAAGAGCTATTGATTTTCTGATTATTAATAACCTGTGGAACTTTTTAAGTTGTTCTAACAAATCAATTTGGGTCTCAAAACAACAGATGAGACTTCATAGAGCAGTGACAGGTCATGACTGTGAGGCCCAGTCTTGCCACTTGCTGTAGCTGGAAACACAGCTGCCATGGTGGCTTTTGTGCTGGATAGCTTTAGTGTCAACTTGACATACCTGGGTGAGGGAGCCTCAATTGGGGAATTGCTTCCATAGTACTGGACTGTGGCCATGTCTGTGGGGATTCTTCTTGATTGTTGAGTGATGTGGGAGGGCCCAGCCCACTGTGGTTGGTGCCACCCCTGGGCAGGTGGGCCTGTGTTGCATAAGAAAGCAGGCTGAGTGAGGGCCAGGGGAGCAAGCCAGTGAGCAGCATTCCTTCATGGCCTGTGCTCCAGCTCATGCCTCCAGGAGGTTCCTGCCCTGAATTCCTAACTTGGGCTCCCTGATGAACTGTGACCCTGACCTGGGAGATGTAAGACAAATAAAGCCTTTCCTCCCCAAGTTGGTAGTGGTCAGAGTGTTTTGTCACAGCAATGAAGAAACAAACTAAGACAGCTTTGCTGACCGCAGAGTTGTGACCGCTATCAGGAAGTTACTTCAAAGACACAAATACAGTGTTGTAATTTCTGATCCTTTATTCCTTTCCTGTGAGCTTGGGTGGCAAATACTACAATTCTGTATTATTTCAGGGGTCGTATTTGAATATACAGGAGTGGAAGGGTGTTTTAAAATATGATCCTATGTTTTTGAGTGGGCTGAAATACAAGAAAGCGCATGCACAGGTTCACAGGAGTATTTGTCTTTGAGAAGAGAAGCATTCATTAGAAGAGTGGATTAATAACATGTTGCAATGATGCAGTAGTGGAAGAATCTGCTTCTAGTTTAGTGGAAATATTTCTAAAAGCATCTTACTGCCCATATTGCTGCTATAATGGTGATTCCCCAGGCAAGGGCCTGAGCAAAAGCATTCCTGCACTTTCCTAGAAGGAGTGTGATACAAATGAACTCCCAACTGAGTCTAAAGGGCATACTACTCTGCATACAGAGAAGTCAGTGTGTATTGACATGGTTGGAGCTGTCAAAAATGAGAGAGAAGTCTTTTTTGGAGGTTGGGGGGATAGAGGATGCTCCAACCCTCCTGTCCATCTCTCACCATCCCCATCCCACCATCTCTAATCTTGTTCTTTGGGCTCTAGGTTTTCCTGGACCTCTCTTAACCATCAAATTCAGGATGGAGTCTTATTCCAAATCCCCTTACATGATTGTTGGGTATGTGTATGGAGTATATCTCAAAGTCTCTGGTTACTCTTTACCTGATAGGAAGCTCTCTCTGAGACACACTACTGAAATTCCTTCCTGCCCCCATCTTAAGGTCCAGTCTAACTCAGTTCCTGCAAACCCCTATAGGAGAAAATGGAGGCCAGATATGGTGCAGAACCCAGACAAGGACCTGGAAATAGGCAGGGACATGAGGCAACATAATGGTGCCTATCTGAACACTACCTGAACATTGTCACTGGATATGTTAACTCTCCCTGGTGCTGTAATTGAAAGAGACCGTGTAAGTATAGAACATGATTCACTTCCACTAATCAGAGATAGCAATAAGATTTCACCTCATAATGTGTCAAATATGATACATAGCAACTGTTTAGCTAGAACTTTATAGTCCATTGTACATTCAGTCAAACCCATGTGCTTGAGCAAGTAAGTCATTCATAAAAAGGAAATTTTCACTAAGTGTATAGGCAATCCAAAGAAAATGAGACTTCTTATATCCTTACAGATATTATGAGATGTCTCTACAGATGTTTAAGTTCTGCACTTTAAAAGAAAACATTCCTCTTGAAGAGCTAGAGGCATTAATGCATGTAGATACTGATACTTGCTTTTAGATGAAGCTGATTGGTCCAGTGCCCAATGATTTTATATTCTGCACTTTTGTTGTTTATCTGATACTGGAAGATATCATAGCGTCCAGGAGCATCCCCATTTTCATTGAAGGTGACGGGTGTACCAGCACTGCCTGTAAAGATTAGGAAAACACTGTTACTAGACTACAGTAACATAGCCCATCAGGTTTATTTCTTCTAAGGAAGCATGGTAGATACAAATATATTGTGTGTGGTAAGTGATGTGAAGATTATAATCCATACAAGGTCATTCTTGATAACATAATATCTTTTACTTGAAAATAAACCTAGACGCACATATGGGAATAAGACGTACTTCGTAATACGCATTAGAAAGCAAATGGTGAGTATCCAAGTTAAGCAATGTACATAGCAGCTAAATAAATAGAAGTTGATAGTCTGAACACTGGCTACACAGAATCATGCTTAATACAGAAAATGTAAACGTGTTGAAATACGACAGCTGTTATACACTATGAACTTTGAACAACTCGAAATTGGCAAAACAGCCCAGCCAGGACCTAAGCGGGACTTCCCTACAGCTTCAGCTCCACTCTGAAGCAGGTGCCCTTTCCAGTTTCTCTGCTTTTTCTACCTGTGCCCCTGCGTATGTCGATGCAGGCTGCTGCTGGAGACCTCCACTGGGCAAGGCAGTGAGCAGTGAAAAATCCCAGTTCAGATCCTCAAAGTCGCGTGTTTCACTGTGATCAGTACAATGGCGTCAGAGCAGCAGGACGCAAGACACAGAGTCTCTTCGGAACTTCATTTCTCTTGGACGCTTTCATCTTGGCTTTTAATAACTTCTGCTCACTTTTACTTTCCCTGTTACTCACCTTTATATAATCATCGGTGTCAGAGTAGAAGGGACGAGCACCCTAATGCTTTCTCATTCCATCTCCCGGCACTATCTACACAGACTTTCTTTTCCCCACGGCCTTTAGCCCGCCCTTCATCTTTGTGGATTATTCCTTCTCATCGTGACAAATTCACTTGACACCAAGCCCTTTACTTGGTGCCTACCCTCTCTCTGCAGGCCCCCTTCCATAAGGTTCTCTTCAGAGGATATTGAAAATAATTTCTGTGATACAAAGTCTCCACTTTTGCTATCCCTTTTCTCTATTATAGTCTTCAAATTATATGTGACTAGTACTTACACTGGTCAACTTTGCATATTTCCATCTTATTTTTTTAATTTGTGTAGTTAAGTTTATAAAACAAAAATATTTAGTTTATCAAGGATATTGATAAATATAATCAACAAATATAGTAACGCATATAAATAGAACCAGAGTTGTGGGTAGTAATTAGATATTTTCATAGTATTTAATAGAGATGTTTATTATCCTGGTTTCTTGAGTTCTTTTCCTTGAATCTGAGCATGGAATGATGTCTCTAGGGAGACTGCTGATACCATCAGGAAATGCAGAGCCTGGAGGATATGGCATAGACAGAAAAAAAAGAGCACTGACATAGCATCAGGAAACTACGTGCTCACAGCAACTCCTTTCCCCATTCATTTTCACGACTTTCTTTTTAAAATATTTTGTTATTTTTATTTTATGTGTATGAGTGTATTGCTTGCATGTATATAAAGGCGCCCGTGTCGTGTAATGCCTGCGGAGAGCAGAAGCGGGTATCAGATCCCCCTGGAACTGAATTACGGACAGTTGTTAGCCACTATGTGGGTGCTGGGACTGGAGCCTGGGGTCCTCTGCAAGAGCAGTCAATGCTCTTAACCTCTGAGCCATCTCTCCAGCCCCTCATTTTCACAACATTCTTCATGTACAGTAAAGATTTAATACCGAACATGAAGATACCTTGAGGTCTGAAAAGAACATTATTACTAATAAGTTTTTCATTAATTCATGTAGAAAATGACTTTATAAATCAATAAAGGCATAAGGAACTGAGAAAAAAAAATCAATCTCTCTAATCAGCTTGTTGCTTTACTATTCCTTAAATGCTTAAGAGGAAAAGCATTTTCTAACTGGGAACCCACTTCCCAACTTCTAGTGACCCTAGGCAGGTTAACATCTTAAATCCTCAATTTCCTAAAGATTCCTATCAGTCAGAAGAAATGACATTTTTCCCATAGAGATTTTTAGGAAAATTAAATGAATCAAGTTGTATGATGTACTTAGAACAATGCACAGATTATTAAACAGTGTTGTCTACTTTGTACTCATTTTTAGTAAACAACAATGTGTAGTAGGAGAAAAAATATGAAAATTTCCTTAGGTTGCCTAAATAGTTACTATGAATCAAATAATAAGAGATCTGTCTCAGAAAAACATGTGTGTTTTGAATATCACAGTAACATTAGTTTCTGATAGTTACACCGCATTTAAAAAATAAAGCTACATTTAGTTTTATCTATTGAAAATACCAAATATTGTCACCTCTTTGTAACTACCTCTCAAATTTTACTCCGGAATTCCTCTCAAGATCAAAAATGCCACTTCTGTTTGGAATTCAGATGAAAGCCTTCTGGGTTATGTGTAATCTCATGACCAGCTGTTTCTACATTCCATTTCTCCAATTAAAGAGCACATGAGAAAGCAAGTGAATGAGGTGCTACGCTATCACAAAAATAAAACTTTAAGCTTAGATACTTTAAGTATTTTAACGTCAAGCTACACCAAATTTGACAATACATTAAGGAAGAAAACACAAATGTGGTCAAAATTTCAAGTTCTAAAATCAGCTTGTTAAAATCCCCAGCTCCATCACTTATTAGATGTTAGCCTTAGGTAACTGCTTGATTTAACTATATCTCATTTTTTTCTTACCATCAAAGTAAGTGACGGTAATTCCCAATCACAGGGTTATGATAATTAAATTAACAAGTCTATGTAAACACACACAGTGAACATCATATAAATATCAATTTCTTTTATGACAATGTTTTGTGAAGCACAGGAAGTTTTATGACAATGTTTTCTGAAGCACAAGAAGTTTTCAGAGAGTGTGCATGATTTTCCACGATATTTCTTGTACTGAACTTTTTCAATATAACTGTTTTTTTTTCAATATAAATCCAACATATACTTAAAAACTAGCTCCCTAAATTCACCACATTTTACACATGCAGCTTTCTTCTCCTTTTCCTTTCTCCTAACTCTTCTCTATTTTATTCGTAGCTCAAGGGGCTGTAGAGATGACTCAGCAGTTAAAAGCACTGGCAGCTCTTACAGAGAACCCAGGTTCTATTCCCAGCACCTACATGGCAGCTAACAATCATCCATAACTCCAGTTCTAGGGGAATCTGACACTATCTTCTGGCCTCTGCAGGCTTAACAAGATATGGATACATGTACATACATTCAGGCAATAAAATAAAAGTAATAAAACTAATATATTTAATTTGTAGCTCAAGAGTCATATGCTTGTAGATGCTTGAGGCTTTAAAACTGGAGTAGACAATAAACTACTTCTTCATGTCCTAACATACTCTACCAAACTATCCACATTTCTCTGCAAAGTTTACTATTAGTCTCATATATGATCCAAATATTTATTCAACAGGTATTTATTGAGCACTTACTACGTGCTCGACACAGAGTGCTCTTTCTGCCATCCTCACTAATCCATGGTCTCCTTATAAAGTCTAATGTGTCTCTTATCTTTGTAAGCACTGTACAGAGTTAGCACCCAATATTGAATAGCACTCCACAAATTATAGGCAAATGAGAAAGAAGTGCCCTGTAATGCTCACAAAGAAATCCATTTTCAACCTCACTTACATCACCTTCCATCTTTTATATTCACAAATGTAGAGGCTAAGCTAGCCTCTTCACATTGCTATCAATGTCTCCTTGGAAACAAACCAAAACTTTGCCATGTTTGGTTGGTAGCAATTACTAGTAGCTGAAGCAGTTTTCGTCACTGACCAGTCTGCTTCCTGGTCATGGCAAAGCATGCTTTTGAACGACTTCAGCCCTCTCATGCAAAGAACTGGCACCACTGAACATTGGTTTCTTGCAAACAACAGTCTTAGTGATCTGTTCTCAGAAGCAAAGCACATCTTTGAATAGCCATGAAAGGCTCATTACTTGCTCACTGCTTTCTGAAGGTTTACCAATTGTTTAAAAGCTTTTGTGATGAAACTGTCCACATGAAAAACAAAAATAAATGGCATTTTGCATAGAAAAAATCAAAATATTAGTCAATTTATTATGGCTGCATATTGACAGTGGTAAGACATATGGCAAGTATATGTGGATGGAGACATTTAAACTTTTATTTAGACACTATAAATTATATCCATCAAATTCTTTTATTTTATTTCCTTCCATCCTGCACTCTGTTTCATACACTTTGAAATGCATTTCATTTTAAAAATGCTTTTTCATTGATGCAGATCTATGAAGAAAGAGGAACAAGCATTTCGATTTGTGAGGTAACTCAGCTGCCACCCTCTAGGTCCACACATCTCCCAGAGTAATTTTCCTTCGATAGGAAATGTGTGGGAAAAAAACTACACTCGTTACTTGACATATCATGAATTTCCAATGTTTTACATCAAAATATTTGGCCTTTGAGTGTCATGTGGGATTGAGGGACTGAAATTTGATTTCTGAATCTTCTAATTACTTATGTTAGATAACATAAGTACTATCTGAGTGTGTGACCCTCTTTACATCCCCTTCTCATCTGGGGCATGGCCATAATAACCCAATTTCATCAATCCACTAAGAGTTACATGACAAGATGAAAAGCACCTGGCAAGTGACTGGCAAGCGAAGAGGCACAGTGAATGAAAACTGTCGTCATCACAGTCCATTCCTGTGCCTGTTCTTTTGGCCTCTTTGTCCACATTGTCTTGTTTCCACAGTGCAAAAGGATTACAGAGCTATTTCATTCATTGTTCTTTATACAAATTAGAAATCTATGAGTCATCTAGCTTGTCTTTTTCCCTTTGTTATTTTTTTTTTTTTTTTTTTTTTTTTTTGCTTTATTTTCTTTCTTCCTTAGTGGCAAAAATATTATTGATTAGTGATCTCATCACTCATAAGCACATAGAATATTAGACAAATAGGGGAATCTAAGAACAAAACCAGTTAATTTAGTAGTTTCAGTACCATTCAAAGAAGAAAGATTATGGGGCTGGAGA